TGTGCATGTTCATTGAACACCCAGAATACAAATGCGAAGTGGTCTTTCTAATCAGAAAGCCATCCAATTCGATTTGTTCATCGTCGCACCATGGTTTCCCTTGAACTAAATTCCACTCTGATTTGTACGTAATCCTACATTACTGCTGAGATATTTGCAAATCCCCGATCGACTCAGGCCTGCTTCGAATCCAGGATTACACTTTACAAGGGCTCACGTGCTACCACCGTACCACCGAGGCCCTTGCTTTACTTTTCTTTTGGCCGATTTTTCACCTTAACGGTGCTATCAGCAATCAACCATCAACGGAAATGATCTAGAGAGCACAAATCGACATTGAACCCAGTTAAACTAAGCTGCAGTCGAAGTCACAATGTTCAACTTTAATTTGCTGCTTATTAATGTTGCAATTTCAACTGCGACTTCAGCTTAACTAGGTTCAAGGCTAATTTATGCTGCCCAGGTCATTACTGTTGTTGACGGTTGATTACTGATAGCACCGTTAAGGTAAAAGATTGGCGGAGAGAAACGTATGGTGGGGTGTGGGTAGAACGTGCTCCCCAGGAAGGGGTAATCGTGGATTAGAAGGTCGCCTAGGGTTAGAATTTAAGTTTACTTAGAGTTCTGCAAATATTTCAACATCATTGTGGTTGTATTTCACATAATAGCCTGCCGTGAAAAAAGTAATGGATGGTGAATAAATGTTAGACGTTATTTGTAGTTCGGTCTTTTTTATCGCTCCATTGAGCTCATTGACAACAGCTTTGGCAATGTGGCGTCGCCTTGTCGAGTCTCTTTTCCTATGAGTATGGTAAGAGGTCGATGGAAAATACGTATCTTTGTGCTGGACTTTTGATTACACTCAGGGTTTCTTATGTAGGACTGGTCCACTCCTTGGTTGACTGCAGGATTTCATTCGGTTTTTTCAAACGGTGTTTCGTACTCAACAAAAGTCAGGGCTAGGGGCAGGTGGTGTTCGCGGCAAAGATCTTTAGTCCTGGACACGGTTTGTATTTGGTCCGGGCAACAGAATCCCTGTCAAAATCCTGCTTGCTCAACTGGTTGTGCTTCATCCGATGTCCTTAATATCTGCAGCAGGATAATCTTCGTGAAGAGTTTGCAGAGTCCACTCAATGAGTATAATAGGCGTTAATTACGATGATCCTTAAATAACCTAAAAATGATCTTTTGAAATATAACTATGAAGATTTTTTTCGGTCAATATCATTGGGCAGGATAACCGTGTACGACGTCGTCCATTAGTTTGGAATTTTTGAAGGTAGAATGTAATATAGTTTGCGAAAAGTACATGTAGATTGTGGTTTCAGGCTCTAAGAAACTCGGTGGTGATATTATTGGGTCTTGAAGCTGTGTCTTTTTTCATACTTTCTATCGTGACTCCTCAGTGGGAAGAATTCCAAGTGTTTTTTCTCCAGCGTGGAGTCTAGGTTCTGGTACGGGGATTGCAGAACAAAAGAGGTTGTAGAATTTTTCCGTTATCAGTTCCATATCATAGTGGGAAGGTTTAGTGATTCTATTTCGTTCATTATAGCCGACAACGGGACATTATACTCGCACAAATCTCTAGGATATTTCTTCAAGTTGGTTCTTTTTTATTCTTCTAACAGCTTCTCCTTCCTATACTGATGTATCTACATCATGCCGAGATCTTTGCAACTGGCATTTACTATCAGCCGTGTTCTGCTCTTCGGCTGTACTCTCCTGTTCTGTTTCTTTATTCAGTTTCTATATCGTATTTGAGCGTTCGGTTAAACTGGTTAGATGAGTGGTCAAAGAAATCGCTGCCGAAACAGAACTTCCCTGAGATCCGTGTCGCGGTGGAGGCCTGAGAACATTGTAGTAAAATATATTCAGGACACCAAACAAGAACAAATTGCCCAACCAGCAATAGCCCAGTCTCATATAATATAGTACACGTAATATTTTCGCTTTTCTACATGAGCCATTATCACATCTACTGTGTGGATCCCAGCGCTTCCTGCGTTCGATTCGTATTCCTTGCATTCCACGTCCATAGAGGTCCCACGACATTTCGCATATTGTTTCGGCCGCTGCTTGAAAATGACACCTTCTCTATGAATGCCGTAGAATGCTGGTCGGGTCGATTCTCCTTTCGATATGAGGAGTAGCCCAATTAAAGCATACCCACGTGAACTAGAGAGCGTTGAGTAGGGGCGGAACCCGCACTTTGCTTCTTGATGGACAGCATAACTTACCACCGCGCCACCCTCTCCCTTTCCTTTGTAGGTATAAAAGATAAAAAGGATAAAGCTCTCGGCGTTGATCAATCGCTGAGAGATGCGCTATGCATTTGACTTCATTAAGCATAGTTTAGAAGTGATTGAATTCATACCTGGCCTTTACAATGACTCGCGGTGGCCTACCGATTTATTGAGTCATCGCTGCTATCCTCCCAGACAAGTCCGGCACCAATTTGCCGACCCCGGAGGGTTGGAAGACCTGGTGGGCCATGAGCGCGGAGATCGATTCCACGTGTGTGTTGCAGATATATATATTATTTATTTCAAAATTTTAACCTTGTATTTGCTGCCTACTGTAATTTTCACGGCAATCATGATATGAGCATTGTATGAAATACAACCACAATACTGGTGAGATATTTAGAAAACTTGGACGCTGGGCCAGATCGAGCCATGAATTACCCTTTCCGGGGGTAAATTGCACACTATACCACTGAGGCTTTTGCTTTGCGTTTTTCTCAGCTAGTTTTCTACGTAATGCTGTCATCGGCAATCACCCGTCAGCGAGATTCTGTGGCGCCCAAATCGGCATTTAGCACAATTTGCTGATGACAGTGTTAGATAGAAAACTAGCTGAGAGAAAGGCAAAGCAAGGGCTTCAGTGGTGCAGTGTGTAACACCCGAGTCCCCGGAAAGAGTAATCATGATGCAATCGGGCCTGAGGTCCAAGCTTTGCAAATATCTCAGCATCATCGCGGTTGTATTTCACATAACATCCTGCCGTAAAATGTTGTAGAAGGCAGTAAATAAAAAGTTGACATTGTGATATTGACTACAGCATCGGTTCTACCTCTACCAACCGTTACCCGTAGTCGCGTTGATATCCGGGTGACACGAGCAGTCTACGTTAAATCTTCTATTTCTCCCTTTCGCGTACCGTACAAATGGAGCCCAGTGAGTTCTGCTCGCTCTAGGGACTCGCCGAGCATCATACCTTTCTTCTAGGCTTTTCTTGATGAACTCTGACCATCGGGTCGGTGGTTTTCTGAAGTACGTTTGACATCCCGAGGAATCCAGTCACTAACGCTTTTGTCCATCGATGGTCGTTCATACGCATTACGTGTTCGGCCCACCTTAATAGTTTGACGTGTAAAACGGCATCTTTGATTTTTGATCGTTGACGCAGATCGGAGCTCTAACATCCCATCCCTTACTTGTGTGGTACGGGATACTCCTAGCATCGTCCTTTCGACTGCGCGTTCGATAACGCCGAGTGGGCTTTCATCCTGCTTACGCAGCGACCAGGCTTCGGACGTATACGTTAGAGCAGGAAGTACCGTTGAGTCGAAAAGTTGGGCACGGAGTCGGGTATTCTCTGCTTCTTCACTACATCCTCGATGCTCTTGAAAGCTCTCCTGGCCGCTCATTTCCTTCTGCTCAGCTCTGGAGCTAGGTTGTTCATCATATTGATTTCCTGACTTAGATAGATATAACTGGATCAGTCGGAGATATTCGTTCCGTCGACCATGAATGGGACATGCGAAACCAATCCGTTCTTCATGAACATGATTTTTGTGAGGTTTAGTCGAAGACCAAGCTTTCCACAGGCTTTATCAAAGTCAGCAAGCATACGTTCCGCTTGGCTAATGTTTGGTGTTATAAGGGCGATGTCATCAGCAAAGCGAAGATGGTGTAACTGCTGAACATCGATTTTCACTCCCATATTATCCCATTCCAATGTTCGCATGATGTTCTGGAGAGTGGTGTTAAACAATTTTCGCGAGGTGGTATTGCCTTGCCTAACTCCTGTTTTGACGTCAATGTTAATATCGTTGTAGAATGGTGATACCTTGGTTGTGAAATTTTTGTACAGCTCACGAAGAATCTTTATGTACTGAGTAGGGACTCCTTGACTATCAAGGGTTTCCAAGACTGTTTCTGTCTCAACTGAATCAAAGCCTTCTGTAGATCGATGGAAGTGAGACAGTACTCACGCGATACTTCAATGAGCCGTGTTACCGTGTAGATGTGGTCCATCGTACTAAATCCTTTTCGAAACCCTGCTTGCTCACATGGCTGTCCTTCGTCTTGTGTTCTGTCAATCCTGTTTAGCATGACTGGAGTGAAAACTTTGAAGACGACAGACAGTAAGCAGATTGGGCGATAGTTGCCGATATTGAGGAGGCCACCTTTTTTGAACAATAACACGGTCTTGCTGGCCTTCCACTAAGTAGGGACCTTACATTCAGACAGGTAACATGTGAAGAGCCGAGCCAGTGTGTTTACGAGACAGGCGGAAGGTTATTCAGGTGTTCTAGTTTCATCCTCCCCGGACCTGGTGTTCGATTTTTCATCGACGGAATAGTATGCCGGATTTCGGAAGGGAGAACCGGTAGTACAATATATCCATCCTCGTTTATTGCATATGATGGAAGTGGCTATCGAAGGGATCCTAATAGTATTCGTGAATGATTTTCTCCATTGCCTTTTTGGACGCTGTAACTGTTCCGTCTGGGCGCCGGCGTGCAATCATTTTGGTCTTGTAATTGGCGAAGCTTCGATGTGTTTTGCGAATGCTTTTTAAGTGCGGACGTTAGTTCGCGGTTGCCTGCAGCTCGTGCGATTCCACACTGGCGTATCAGCTCGAGTGTTTCTGGAGACAAACGTCTCTTGCTGGCTTTCGAACTCTCAGCTTTCATAGCGCTAATGTGAAGATGTTGAATGAGCCGGCCGTATTCTTCGTCGATGTTATCGACAACGGCATCTTCCCAACAGCCACTAATAGGTTGATAAGTCCCAGTTCATGATGGTTCCGACACTTCGGTTTTGGAATTTAGCGGCTTTTTCTCCTTTCCGCGAGAAATAGAGTCTTGCACAAAGCAGAAGATGATCTGGTCCCGTGTAGAATTTTGGGACAACAGCGACATCGGTTAGCAAAACCTTCGGTTTACTATGATGTGGTACATTTCGTTATGTACTCTCCATTAAGAGACTCCCACGTCTAGCGTTGAGGGTGATTCTGGAATTGCGAATTACCATGGATTGTCTTGGTCGTCATGATAAACTCAGGCAGCCGCTCACCCTGTTTGTTCCATTCTAATCCGTGGGTCCCAATGTGACGTTCTTCAGACGTTCTTCTTGGTCCAATCTTGGCGTTGAAATCTCCAATGACGACCTTGAAGAATGTGTGCTCTTCTCTGTAGAACTTCTCCGAGTCCATATAGAACGCTTCGACTTATTCGTCATAGTTTGATGTCGGCGCGTAAACGACGAAGATTGTCAAAGCTGGTATTGATCCACGTGTTTTTAATCGTGAACGTCCGATTCGGGTTGTAAGTTGTTCGGATGAATCGATGTTCATGGACAAACTAGTGTTGACGAGAACGCCAGCGCCGCCGACTCCCTCTACTGTCGCATGTTCCGAGGAACATTTCTTCTCCGGTGTCATAGACGGCGTTGAAAAGCTGCCGTCTTCTCGTCTCGGCCAGGCCGATGACGTCGTACTTTATCCTTCTTGCCTGCATGAGCAACTCTTCTATTGAGGATTCGGATGCAAGTGTACGTGCGTTGTAGGTACAGAGCGTCACCATAGTTCTTTGAAATCCGGGCAGCTTCCATTGGGCCTGAGATTTTAACAGCCTCTCCGTACTCGTCCTGCCCAACACTGGGAAATTCGGGGCTCTTTCGGGGTCAGGGAATGAGGCCCGTTTTTTTTACTGTGTTTAGCATTTTGATACCCACGTATAGCTTGCTGGGCTCTGAACGTGGAGGCTCGGTATGCTCACTGGTAGCTTGCTAGGGTCTGCCAGAGTGGACATGGAGTTTATTTGTTGGAGGCGACTCCTAACTGCCCCCTGTATATTTCCCAGTCACTTGATTGCAGGCTTTTGGCCGAATTGACTCGTAGAATACAATTCGCATAAGCAAGAACGCATCCACACACGCATGCATGAATACGCCTACGAAATACAGAAAGTATGTCCCAAATCAGCGCGGTAGAAACAGGGAGTCCATCCTCTGGATCCACCTTCGTCTCAGGGAAGCAAAGGTCTTCGATTCGGTCCGCGATCTCTTATCCGCTACCTGGGGACGCGCCACGTACCCTTGCGATTAACCGGCTCGAGATCCCTCATGTGAGGGAGATCCATGGGGTTTTGGATCCGATCCGTTTGTCAGCATGATAGGGAAATATTTTTTCCACGTTTTTTATCCTGGATAAGGGTTACATCAAAAGGTAGGTGGCATTCTGAACGGAATTCGATAACCGTAGCTGCGGTTTGGTATGATATATGAAACCGAAGTAATATTGGAGTAATTCGCCATTTGCTTAATAAACACTCTCGAGGTTGTTATTATTGAGTCTCTGGGATTTTATTATTGTAAAGTCTTTCATTGTTGAAGTCTTGATGGCATCTGTAGTTGCGAAAATCTGTTTAATTACCCTTATTGGAAGCATGATCGTGTTCGAGGTTGTACATGAGTAAGGGGAGTAAGGGGTTATTTTGTATGAAGATATATTGTTATTTGTGCTGGATGGAGTTCATGTTAAACGTTTTCTTCAGCTTAAAGAAACTCAGATGTAATGTTATCTGGTTTTGGAGTGTTGTCTGTCATTATGCTATTGACTGGAGCTCACACTTATAAGTTGGTAGAATGCAGCAGGATTTTTGAGTCTGGAACCAGGTGGGAATTAGTAGTAAATACATCTTTTTCGTCAGGGCTGGTAGAGAGAGAGAGAAATAGTATCCATATAGGTCGGGCAACAGTGCTTTAGAGATGTTCTTTCTTGAGCTCTTTCCAACAGTTTTCCCTGCTTGTGCCGTCTCGTGTCTTCATGCCAGGATCTGCAGCCGTTTTGGGTATGTGGCAGTCGTACCTAGGTTCAGCTTTTGTCCTATCTTAAGGAACTCAAATACTGGCTGCAGTGATGTAATACGAACATATTGGTCGAATGACTGACAGATCCGATACAATTAATAGGAAAAGAGTTTCATTGAGAATACTACCGTCATAACTTGCATTTTTTATTCTGTTTACGACACTGGTTCTAATCACTGGATTCAGTGCAGTGTTGGCATAGGAGGTGTCACAGAGGTCAGTGATGCGCCAATTTTGTGTATTAGGACATGATTGGTACCTGAGTCGTCCCATCAAACGATTCCATTGTCCAGCGACCTTCTTCTTCTCGAAAAATAATGAATTTTTATAGAAAAAACCACTTACGGCATTGAACCTCAGCATGACGGTTTTCATTCTTCCTTTGGTCTCCTATTTTTAGTTTCCCGCCCCTCTACCCACTTTTACTGTTCTTTTTCAGTGTTTCGTTGAAGTCTTCGACAAAAACATACAGACCAACCTTTAATTAATCGATATACTTTTTCTAACTGCTCATTGAACGAACTTAATTCCTTAGAGTGAGCTACAAGTTCGTGAGTGGCACTTGATTATGACGATCACTTTGTGGAAACGGAGTTTAAGAATGGAAAATCTATTCGGTGTAGTGAGATCTCATATGAATTAATGAGATGGGAAGCGGATGTTTGTACGCAGAACCTAGTGTCGTTTCGAGATGGGATATTTTTCTACAATCAGGAAGAGAATCGTTGTTTAATTGATGTAAATCGGTGTTCTTGCGTTTCGTTTCTTCCTGAGCAATGTTTGGCGACCACATGAAATTTGATATTACCTGTAGCTGAGATCAATATTTGTGAAGACTGTCCTGGTATTATAGAACTCTACCATGAATCATTATTTCCTTTGTTGTGTCGTGGACATGTTGTTGCTATTCAATGACGTCTTCTGTAACCAGAGCTTTGATCAATTTTCACCCATTGTTCCCCCTGTTGGCGTGCGTTCTAGAGAGGTGCATCGACCATCTCTGATGAAGTGTCTGTTTGTTGCAGTCTTATGTATATGCCAATCTCTATGTTTAATTCCGAAAAGTGTTTCGGCTTTCTCTCGTCCGTCTTGGTGGAGAGTTGGTCCGTTCTAATGACGAATTGATGAAATAGGAAACATGTTTCTATTGGATGGAAGGATATGACTGTGTGTTATTCTAGCGTTCTTCATTCATTCATTGATTTCTATTCTTTTTCTCTGATCTGATAATTTTTTGTCCACTTTTTGTTGTAGTGCCATAACCATTTGACCGTTGCTAATGAAGATTGGTGGTTTTAGGGCCTAATGATGCCCGGATTATTACGAATTCTGCCTCGTTTCTACACATCCATCGACACGAAAGTGATACCAGTTTTCGTAAAAGTTGTCTCATTCGACGCAACGGATACGGTCATTGCAATGGACGAACCATTCAACGTAGTCTATTCACGTGTTGCAAATGATCATGGTATTCCCGTCGATTCCTCCTTAGTTGCGACTTCATTTCTCAAGTATATGAAGAATATGTCTGTAAGCCATCCTTGCTTTGGCTTCGGTTCAATTGGACATGTTGAATGGTGGAAAAGACTCGTAGTTGGATGCTTAGAAGAGGTACTTTTCGTTTTCTATGTTTTGTAAAGCACCAGCATTTTGTACTGCATTAGCTGAACATCGAGAAGGGAAAACACCGTTTGAAGATCAATCACTCGCTGAAGTTGATATTCCAACTAAAACTCTAACCTAATCTAGTGAAAGCTTGCAATAGTGAAGCAGTTTTAGGGAATTCGGATTTCTTTTAGTTCCAGTTTATAAATTTGCTAAATCAGAATAAAATATGAAACCTAGAAAGTGCCATCTACAAGTGTTCTTTTGCTGCCAAAATTTGCTAAGCTATATTAGCTCAACTGTTTGCGGCGATAGGCATCCTAGTTTACAACGTTGGTTTTTATATAAAGGATAAAGCTTTCATCATTGATCAACCGCTGTGGGATGTATTATGCATTGCACTTCGCCAATCATAATAGAGGTGAATGAATCCATATCTGGGCCGGTAGATTGGTTTGCGGTGACCTGCCGTTATATCTAATCGGTACTGCTATATTTCTAGGCAAGTCTGGTACTAATTTGCCGACCTAGGAGGGGTGGAAGGCTTTAGCGAGCCCGAGGAGCCGTATGGAATTAGTGACCACTTTAGTGTATATTGTATGGCACTGGGCAAAATGTGCTCTTGTTTTAGGGTGTATATTTTTACACTAGAATACATAAATCAACCTATCCAATCCTGACTAAACTTCGATCTTCAGTGCATACCACTCTTATCGGAACATCTTTTTTCATCATGCTACATTTCAGTGGTGAAATGAGACGAGAAACGTCGTTGCTCTAGCTTATGCGTTATTCACAAGGCAATGAATCTGAGTCACGAGTCGTTCTGTTCACACTCTTTTTTCCTACACCGTTGATTGTTTCTGGTTAATCGTAGATTTAGTAGATTACAGGCTTCTGCTGCCCCAGTCCCTCCTGTAAAGGCTGAAGAGATTGCCCAATACTTGTTTCATTTTTATTCCAGTGGAAATGCATGGCGCATTGTTGATCCAGAGGTAAGCACCGTAGCCACCAATCACTCGTAAAGCATTCCAGTTAGTGGAGTTAGCCTATAGTTGTATAGCCCGTTGATAATTTGTATGCTCGTGAACTTTGGAAAAACTTAGGTGTTCCGTAGAGTCTTCATTTGCAATGTCTTTTCATTAACGCTCACTTTTAATGACACAACAGAACTTTTCTGAATTCATTTCGTCTCAAGAACCATATTCAGCTAGAGACGTTCGTCAACGCCCTTCGACGGAAAGAGGTTGCTGTGGTGATAGTGTCGAATTTCGATGGACGCCTATGGAAAATTCTACAAGACATGAACTTGTATTCTCTGTTCGATTTGATAGTGGCCAGTGGAGAAGTCGGTGTCGAGAAACCTAGTCCAAGTATTTTTGAAATAGTTACAAATCACTATCGTCTTTCAAATGCCTCAGAGTTGTTACACATAGGTGATAGTGTCCAAAACGATTACTTAGCAGCCAGGAATTTCGGGGCGAATGCGATTCTCTTTGATCGTTCTTCACTTAACAGTGATGTCTCCAGGTTAGACAAAATATCATCTTTCAGTCAGTTACAGATATTGTGATGGACTCTATTTCGACCCATTCCAAGGTATGACCTATACCTTTCCACATTGATGTGAAAGCAAATGTCTTCCGCGATTTCATAATAGGCACTGAAGGCGTCTAAATAAGACAATAAATACAACTAGATTTGAAGATCATGCCATTCCAGTGTTTTTCATAGAAAGTAGTGTTGTCTACTATTACTGAACCCATTGAATTTGTTCACAAGTGAACAATGCTTGAAAAGCATATCATGTAGCACAATCTGGCTTGAACTTCATTGACCAACAGTAATTGCCGATAAAGAGTTCTGTAGTTGTTGTCAACAGAAGTAAAGGTAAAAAGTTCTCAAGAGCTATTCGTAAGCAACTGTTTACGTGACTTCGTAGAATATACGATTCATAACTGCTTGAAACATGATTTTACATTGTACGAAACATTTTTTACATTTGATATTGAGATAGAAACTATATTGATTAATGCTAAGTAGGAACTTACTCTTTATCAACCTCGTGTTAGCTTATCAATAGAAGAGTACGTATATTAACTGAGGTAAGAAAGTCCATTTCATCCTTAGGGTAGCACAGTTTAATAGTTCCACACGGTACAACGCACTTTTCCACATCAAACAGCGAGATAGAAACCGTATTAATTGAGGTAAGCAAGTTCATTTCACCTATTGAATAGTGTCTGAAGACGCAGGATACTCATTCCGTAACTTCGATCCCAGACTGCCGACCTGTCCAGAAGTTAGTTACACATTTTAGGTTTGGAAACAATCAAATTTTCACTAGGGTGTTAGTGTAATAAGTTCTTTGGTGTGCCATTTTGCCTATAAGATGGAGACACCTTAGTGTTCAATCTGCAAACAATCTGCAAGCTATGTTTGATGCTCGAATACTTGGATTTCTGGAGGTTAGGCGAACTACGAGTAAATGTTAGTAATGGAAGCCCTCGAGGCGGGAAATCTCCCTATGGCAAACAAGTCAACGACTGCTGTGACTGGGGTCTGGATACGCTTTATCACGGTTGTTTCAGGATTTCATGAGAAAAATGGACTAGCTCGTTGGAAAAAAATTGTCACGTAGAAGTTGTGTTAGAGATCGTTCACAACGGAACACTGAAGACTTGTCACTCGATTACAGATCTGTGCCGTAGTATTGAGCAGCGTCAATTTCCAAAAAAGTTGGGAATTCGCAAGCGGTTTGATTCCTATATACAATAACAAAAAAGTTACCGGGTAGAAATTTACTTTGAAGCTCGAATTTTATTGTACTGTAATAAAAGTTATGGCCATGATTTACAAAGAAAGTAAGAGAGACGGTAGTCTCTGTCAATAAAAACCATGAATGATGCTGAGATGTGTTAAGATAATTCTTGCGAAACCTCACATAAAAGTCACTATTGTAAATACTATCGTTATACACCGAGGAAAGTCCTATGTAGAGAAAGTAATCATGGGAATACAATGAACTCCAAAAAGCAAACAGAAACTGGGAAAACATCTTCGGAACAAAACCAATAAAGTGCAAATGGTGAAGAGGCTCATATCTTACAATACTTTGCCATTTTCCAGCTTCGATTTGCAAAGGCTAGGAAAATCTTCGTCATTTTCTACACGACATATACTTGAAGAATCCCGATCATCTTAAGAGATGATCATTTAACGACTCAGTTCACAATGGCACATTGTCGCTCCTTGAACGCATGAATATCGACGGCTAAATCAGCAAGAACCTGAAAAAAGCATGAAGGATTGGTTTCAGAGGGAAGAAAACCTAAGAAAGAGATGAAATTGTCTCTGAGAAACCGATATGATGCATCACCTCTACTCAAGCACTTCAAGGGTCTGAATGCGTTTATGTTCTCAAGAACTTTTCGCAACTTCATAACAACGTCTTAACTAAATATTCTAAAGATCTTCATTAAGGTCCAACCATATATACCATGTCTGTAACACTTTCAGAAATACCTTCGATGAATTTTCACACGATATACCATTTTGGAGGGAAATATTCTATCGCCGAATGTGTATCAGTAGAAATCAAAAACTGTACTACGTGGTTCATCATAAGCGATTTTTTTCAAGCGTTTAAGATGAAGTAGATTACAGTTTAAAGTGTATAATGACTATACCTGTGTTAAAACTCTCAGTCTATCGGTTGTGGAGTCGAGTCTTTGTGTGATTTGTGAATTTAACGAAGATATATCGAATTCGATATCTGGGGCCATCCCAGTCTAGAATTTCAGTGAATCACCACGCCTTCGTTACAGTTTCTTTTTTAAACGATGGGAACAATGCTACGGGTTATATTAATGATAGAGCTTCCATTGCTCCAGTTTGCCAATGTAGCACTAGTCTTCGTGAATTTTTGCGTTTCATCTTGTACTTATACTGAATTTGGTGAGCTTGCAATCAATTTTGTAAACCTTTCTTTTCCGATTTCATAGAACCCATTTTAGCACATCTATTTTTTCCCTACAATAGTTTGGATTGGCAACATACACTGGGTTCGTGCGTATGTGAAGTGGTCAGGTAAACAATTTGTTATTCAATAAAACAGAGTGGCAACTATTTTCCAAATGTATAATTAAAAAGCTCATAGGAGTTTGTAATCAAGTAAAATTGCGAAACGACACCTTCCGCCTAAGGCTGAGATTGTTGTTATACTCGGCCATGTCGCCACACATCACTTCTGCATCTCTACTGACTGCCTGTAGCTGCAAGTAAGGTTATCGGCTCTTTCAGCAAATTAGAAACGGCTCCCTAGCAGATCTACTAGGGAAGTACTAGGCTCTTAAAATTAGAGCACAGTGAAAAAAATGTAAGGAAACAACATAACCATCGATATACAACGTATGACAAAGGTGGAACCTACCGCATTCACATCGTTACCAGTACTGTTATCGTCAACTGCGTTTTTCAGCCTTAGTGAGGTACGCTTCATGTCTGATCTAGAAAAAAAGGTTTTCAACACATTTTCAGACACATGAGTCGCATTTGACTCATTTATAGAGGACCTAATGCGTCTGTTTATTCTACTAAGGGAGTTTTTCACGTTTTGCATTCCTACTATAGCTTATTTACATAACGTTTCACAACGTGTGGTCCAAGAGAAGCTCTTCGCTTCACTTCGTGTTTTTCGGGAAACTGTTTTAGAAGACATAGAGAGAGAAAGACTAAAAGTTCGACCCTTAGTGTAGGCAAAGAGCGTGTTCAACAATACTCTGCAGATTTAGCATTGAGAAAAAAGCGTAAAGTACTACTTACAATTCACACTATTTAACACAATTGTAAATTATAGAAGCTATCCACTACCTCTATTTTTTTGTACCCTTAGCATATTTTTCAGCCTGACGTCACATACTGAGCAGACCTTATCGATTCCACCATCTAATGCGTTTCCTCACATCCACTACTCACAGAATTCTTTAGATATACGTTTGGATTCGGTTACTACTTGAAGATTTGTGGTCTTTGTGAATGCGTGCTCTTCTTATATGCTGGGATGCCCATGCTCGGGGCTCCTCCAGGCCTTCACCACCGAAGACGTCTACCGTTGTGGAATGCAGAGGGCTTCCCACGCAAGTCCAGTAACAACTTCCCAAACCTCGGAGGTCTTTGGTTTTCAACAAGAGGGTTTGACCGGCCTGAGTCGGAATCAAATCATGACATCGCACATATTTAGCGCATTTCACTTGTTGTATGAACTATTTCAGTCCTACGCACACTGTGTAAACGAAATCTTTCTCATCAGAGAAAGTGCTATCTCTTGCAGTCAGTGTGCAAACCGTCGATGTGAAGTAAGAAGCAGCTCATTAGAAAGCGTACAGACAGTACTTACTTTTTTACTTACTTAGTCTTACTAATTTTTTTAATGAGCGGTATAATCTGCTTAGCTGGAACTGTATCAAAAAGGTCCATCCCAGCACTAAAAACATTGTTTGGGATAAACCAACAATATTTCAGTAACTTCTATCCACTCCAAACAGCATAAAGACATCGATTCTCACTGAGAACTAACCAAGTCTGTGCCTAAATTGAACCCTTGTTTTCTATCATATAACATATTATTTCAGCTGCACTGGAGGCGTTATCCTCAATTCTTTGTCGATGCTAATTATGGATATAGGCAATTGTATGTTTTCGGCCCAACTGTATTGGCCTAGTGGCCATTATCAATACAATGCTTTAATTATCTGGGTATAACTTTCCAGTGGCGGAAGTATTCGAAGCCCCGCGTGGAAGCGTACAAAAGCTAAAAGTTCTCTGCTGTTTGCCAATTTGTACAACAATTATCGCAAGTCGCAAAGTTTAGAGTTCAGGAGTTTTGTTGCTCTTACAGAACAGAAGCGATTTACACAAAAGTGCTTCGTGCCCTGTGTACATCTAGTACCAAGATACCCGGTACGTACGGAAGCAGATCTGGAATGGATGCCCTCGTTTGTCCGACTTTAGACTGCTCTCTGGACTTCTATCTTCCGAAACAAAGCCATTTGATGGTATAGACACTTGTACTCCATCCGTTTGAACCGAGATGAACTAGATTTGGTCCTTAAACTAACGCACCACGATTTACTTACTGCAAATTGTCATAGTAGATTCTCCGCTTGTTCATAGCTCATATTAGCGTAATTTGGTGGAAAGTTAACCGTATTTACTTGACCTATGAAGCACAATACATACACCACTTGCTAGTTTTCCTGACAAACAGAAAAGTCGCTATTCGCTATCTGGCCACTCGTGTTCAAACAGTTTTCTTGATTGTACCTTCCGACACCTCTCAACCGTTTACCGCCTCATAGTGGCTGGGAGGTGTTCCTGGGTGTCGGACTGCGATGTGCAGCGGGGATCCATCCCTGGCAAGGTCTCCCAAGCTGAGAAGGAGTCCGGCGTTTCCATCAGGAAGCCTAGCTAAGAGTAAACCAATACCAGGATCCACCACCGTCCTGGTATCAAAGTCGCACGGTGGTAAATCTCCCTCTGATCCACAAGGGCTGCGACTGCCTGTCGTGGTGAACACCTGGGGCAGACTTTAGGCAGACTGACCTCGGGACTCCAGGGAAAACCATAATGACCTAACCAGCAAATCTCCGAAAAATGGAGATTATGCTGGGGTGCGCACAACCAGTGAGGACGGGCCATTCAAGTATCTAGTAAGTAAGTACCTTTCGACAACATGATACCTCTTGATGAATTCTCAAACAAGGTTGCGTCGTGTTCTGTGGGCAACACAATAGTGCAACGTATAATATCCTTCCACTTCAGGCTCACTACACCGCTTTGATTCCGCTAGACTATTAATTGTCTTCTTCCAAACTTCTGCTTAGAAAGTGCTTTGCATTTACTTGGCAAGTCCCTGATTCATGCACTTGCCAAGCAGTTGTGTCTTTTTCTGGAGCAAGCTCTTAGCGCTAAAGAGGCACTTCGCCAAAACGCACAGATTCCTTGGTCGAAAAAATCCTTCACAAGCTTAATCACCAGAATCACTTACTGACGAACACCACTGATTTGAAGCTGTTGCTGTCTTCCAGGGACAATTTGAATACGTTGACTCCGTATTTTTAAGAACATGACCTGGCCTTACCTATTGCGCAGATCCCAAAACTTCCTTCACTTAGTCCGCTGCCTCATAGCTGTCATTCAAAGTTTCGGGTGTAGGTATGGATTTGGATGCCACCTGAGGACTTTGGCTTCTTTATTCACGTCGCTGAATGATGGTCTAGTTTGAAGATGGAAGACTCGTCAATGAGCATCCTTCTTCGGGATCTTTCTATTTTGTTCAAATTTCTGCTAACCAACAGATAATTCCAATAACCAGGAACAACTTTTCATGACCACAACACATCGCATCCGCGAAACAGTTGACCTCGCTCAACCTAACTGTCACTGAAAGTTCACTGGCCATGACCTACCACACTGCTCGACAACCCACAGCTAACCTCATCACCACCAATTTCGTCCTCAATTTCCAATTCACTTTTTTCGGATTCCAACGCAAACAACAAATTCCTCATTGCTCTCAGCTCCTTTACCTTCTTTTTATTCAATCTCAATAAGCAGTCGGAGAAAACCAAGTTCAATTCACCACCCTGACATGATTAGACTTTATGAAAGTTCTATTTCGATAGTTGACTGATTGTTCCTTCTTTACCAATCGCTCTTATAAATCATGGTTAACGTACAGAATTGGTGGATATAAACAATAAAGAAAAACACTCCACTGAATGTGGCTAATAATTAACAAAAGTCGGTCGCATTGTGGCTGGATAGTGCACGAGTTTTGTCATTGCAAGAGGTAGAAATGTTCCAAAAACAAGAACAATACAGAGAAGAACTAGAGAACAGGCGGAGTATAAAACAGGAACCAGTCTCTAGAGCGAGCAGAACCCACTGGGCTACTCTTCCACGGGACAGGAAAAAGTGGAAGATTTAATGGCGCCCGCTCGAGTCGCTCGACGATCAATAGGGACTACAGGTGATATAGTTGACAGGTGATAAAACAAGAACATAAAAACAGGTGGAAGAACACATAACAAACCAAAGTTGAATTAAAGAGGAATTAATCTTCTATTCTCAATAAAGGTTGACGTAACTAGCATCAACATAAAAGATCAATAATTTTGGGCTCTAATATTGGCTTGCAAAGAATTTCCCAGTGATAGCAATTTTTGATTGCATTTACGAGGAGAAAGAATAAGAGGTAGTGATAATTTAAGCCCCTTTCTCCATCATGTTTCAGGCCATTGTTTATCGCCGTTGTTTTCTATTGGTAGGCAATCTTTTCTCGCTGCGTAGGTTTTCTGTTTAGTGTTACTTCATAAGATCAGAAATTGAGCACAAGAAATATGTAGTGATCACCTACTTCACAAAAATCGTCTCAAGGATGGTGTAAGAAATTGGGCGCTTTCTTTTCATAAAAATAAGAAGGAATCACATGCCTCTTTCTTCTCGCTCTCGATAAAGGAGATGAAATTCTTAGTTGATCTGATGGCAGATGTCCAGCATGTTCCAGACAGAACCGGACATAAACGCTTCTAAAATGATTTGACTTAAGCACGACTTGAGTAAAACTCATTGTTTATTAATGATCTGAAATTATGCGAACGATGGAATCCAGAGAAAAGAGATGGGAGAGAATGAGAAGAATAATAAATGAAAGAAGAGAAAAGTGTAAGATGGGTGCGAATGAAAAGAGAATCCGGCCATATCGATCGTCTCTGGATCAATATCAATACTTTTGCGGCGACGCTCAATTCTGCGCTGTGCTCACTGGCGGGAGATCTGGCAGTTCTTATGTAGAAGCGCACCTTTTGTTGTGATTTCTGTTCTACAAATCGGTTTTACTTTGCGTTCTGAAGAAAATTCTGCGCTTCTCTCATCCCATTTGGGTTCTATGTTCTTCTTTGCAGCCTCACTTTTTTGGTGCATATACCACTCTTGTGTATGGAGAAAAAAACCCTAGTTCACTATGTAACCATATTGCTGTCAGTATTTAGTAAAGTACAATTTGTGCAAGGAATACTACGACGTGTGCCTTGAGTTCTTCATATCCTCTGATTCCACACCAAACCCAAAAGTCATCGTAACGATTGGAAATTAAGAAGTAAAAAGAGCTGCTTGTCGAAATGACGCTGCACACTGCATGCAATGGCATTGTTCGAACTGGATGCATTTCTGCACCTGGTCACTGTTCACACTATCTAGACCCACAATCTCTTCAACAGCAACCCTCTCTCACCGCAAACTAAGGAATCAAATGAGAAGTTATTAAAAGGGCATTCTCCTAAGGACCACGTTCGGTACAGCATCTGCATTGGATTAGTCGTCGATTGATTATAAAAAGTATAGCAAAACAGTTTTATATGTTAAAATAAAACAACGGGAAGAAAACGACACCTGCTGGTGTCATGCCGGTCCCTCCCTCAACTTCGTTATTCGTTATGAAGCCTATAGAGGTCCCTCGTCGCGATAGTGTTAAATGAGCGATATGTGAAGATGCAACTGCTTAGAGCGAAAAAGAAGTAATAAAGCACTTATCGCTAATGACCATAACCCGAATAATTGCGGATGCATTGCACCCTCGAAGAATTCTGGTACGAGTCGTAAGTGCTAAGTAAACTTTTCTAACAAACGTAACATAACTTCTCTACCAAGCAAAACATGACTCCTTTACTAAACATAAGAGGAATCAAAAAAGAAAAGTTTCTCCTTTAACGATTTATCCTCTAGGGATTTCTCAGCCTAATATCTTTAATGCAGTCAACATACCCGTCAATCCTCTCCATAACATGAATGAACGCTGTACACGATACCGTGCTGCAATCAGCTTCAGAAAATCTGATCGATTCCGAAAGACGACGCCTTTTCAACCTTGGCGATAAACGAACTCGACATAGAAGATAGTACTCCTGCAACTCTGTCACAATACTATCTTACCATCAGATTCTAGTTAGATAGTAGATGGATCTCAGTACATTTAATATGATAAATCTCCAGTGGCAACGGATTTCTTGAAGGTAGCAAATCTTCGTGACCACAGTTTCTTTTTCCGGGTTATATTCCAATTTTCGACAAACTTTTTTCTCTGTGTAACGCTTTTAAATCCTGAATTTAGTCTAATATAGGTTCTTTTCTACCATATAACGATAATTTGCAATTAAGAAATCCACCCACTAGCTGCTGAAAGAGCACAACTAGGTGAATGAACAAAGACATTGAATAAATGAACACATTTACTAGAAGCTCAGCCTTGCAAGGTATGCACTGAGCTGAGATTAACGGAAACAGATTTTTCCTTTTAAAACTTTGACGGTTCATGCTGACGGGATAACCCTTACCTTCTCTTGATCAGATGGTCCTTCTTCGGAACCAACGTACCCACCTTCGGTACGGCAATCTTCGACCTCAGAAAGCCACGCCTAAATCATTACTTTGTAGTGCCGTATATCTTCTGAAACCAATATGAACTTTAACTTAGTCGACGTACTACAATAAAGTCCCTATGTATGTAGTGAAAAAGAGAACCACATGAAAATGGTCAACCTTGCACCTATGATCATATTGTAATTGCAGGACACTATAAGGGGTGCAGTGATTGATCAAAAAGGATCATTAAAGATTTATGCTAACCGTCAATGTCATGAGATTCAACATCTCACGAAGCCAAGTTCTGCAGAACCTTTCTGTCATCCGTCCAATCATTCATCATCAGTTCTGAGGTTCAGAACTACTCCACAAACGCAAATAGCGTGGGGTGAGCGCATATCAGCGTGACAACAATACCAGACACTGCGATATATAACACTTCCTATAGAATCTCACGACTTAACACTCTAAGCTGCCCTTGTGTTGGATGAGGATCCTCAAGAAGAGAAACGGTCAACTCATACGTTTATGGCTTCATTTCCCCACCAAAACCACGTCCTCTAGGACTGAATGGCTTCTCATCCTGACTTTCAAAAACAGGACAAAATTTAGATATTGCTCCTCAAAAGAAAAACCTGGTTACATTTCCATGAACACTGTGTGCAAATTTTTGATATGATGCTTAGTACACTTTTGTAGTTCTCTGCTGTAATTGCTTCGTTAGGCCTTAGACAACTGCAGTGAATAATTCCACACAGAGAACTTACTTACTTGGATACCTCGACGGTCCGTCTTCACGAGCTGTGCGGACCCCAGCACATATGCCATTCGTTCCTTTCTCTCGCAATCGTAGTCCATGGGGGTGGTCTTGTTCGAGTATGGTAGCGCTTGCGAGTCTCATACCGTGATCTGTAAAGCAACTCCAGCTGCGGGTGCAGCTGATTAACTTTGTTTACGAACACGTCGGCCCAACATGTAGGAAGTCGTCCTAGGGGACGTTTGCATTCTCGTGGAGTCCATTCTACAGTTCCTTTCGTCCATCTGTCGCCTGTTCTTCTCATTATGTGACCGGCTCTTCTATGTTTCGCTGTCGATGTATATTCTCTTGGATCTCGAAGATGTGACAGATTTCGAAGGTCAGAGCTTCGCATTCCGGCTAGATATTGAGAGTGCCGGTTATATTTCAGAAGACATCGCTCAAGCGCTCTGTGAGTAGTTCGAAGCATTCTTGACGTAGTTGAAGTATCAACCCACGTCTCTGCAACATAGCAAAGCGTTGGGAGGACCGTAGAATTAAAGATGTGAGCAAGGATTTTCGGGTCCTTAATGGTCGGTGGCTTGCTTGACAGGCCCGACTGCGGCACAAGCTGCTCCCCTTATTCTATCTAGTTCCTCCTTCATGTTGTTTTCCATGTCCATTGATCGGCCAAGGTAAACGTACGAGGTGGTCTCTGCAATGAGAGAGCCACCCAATTCAATGTTTTCGCCTTCGCACCATGGGTTTTTCATGAACTGGGTCTTCTTTCGATTTATGCGAAGTCCGATCTTTTTCCCTGCTTTGTTGAGCTCGTTGATTATCACCTCTGCTTCGCTAGTACTTCTTAAGAAGATGACAATGTCGTCGGCAAAACGAAGGTTTGGTAGGAATTTTCCATCAATACGTATGCCTTTCTCATCCCAATCGAGTGATTTCATTATCCATTGTAGTGCGGCACTGAACACCTTTGGCGATATTGTGTCGCCCTGTCGAACCCCTTTTCTTATGGGTATTGTAAGAAGTCGATGGAAAAGCTGTATTTTCGCAGTGCAATTCCGATAATAGCCGGACAGAGTCCTATGTAGGACGGATCTACTCCTTGGCCGACGAGTGCTGATAGGATTGCATTCGTTTCGACACCGTCAAACGTTTTCTCATAGTCGACAAAGGTTAGAACTAGAAACAAGTGGTATTCCCGACAAACTTCGATGACCCCGAACACGGTTTGGATGTGGTCCATGTAGCAAAATTCTTTTCGGAATCCTGCTTGCTCAACTGGTTGCGCCTCATCCAATGTCCTTGATATGCACGAGAGGATTATCTTCGTGAAGAGCTTGTAGAGTACACTAAACAAGCATATGGGACGATAGTTACGAAGATCCCTTCGGTCTCCTTTCTTGGGCAGGATGACCGTGCACGATGTCCTCCATCGGTCTAGGATTTCTTTCTTTTGAGGGTAACCTGTCATATGATCTGCGAGGAGTACATCTAAATTGTGGCCTCCAGCTCTAAGGAAATCGGTAGTAATATTATCGGGTCCTGGAACTGCGCTTCTTTTCATGCTTTCTACCGCAACTCGAACCTCCGACGGAAGAATTCTATGTGGTTTTTCTCCAGCGGGAATATTTGGGCCAAGACGGGGATTGTGAAAAGGAAAAGGTTGGTGTAGAACGTTTGCGCTATTAATTCCATATCACGGCGGAAAGTTTTGACGATCCCATCTTCATGATTCCTCAAACTTGGGTAATTATACCATGAGCTCCAAGATCGACTCCGAAGCAACGCTAGAACTGAGACACGAAATAAAAAGGAACAACGAGAAGTAAGGGGCACTACCACCACCTCCATTTCCTCGGTTCTTCTTTGGACAGCAAAACCCAAACGACGAAGTCGATATAAAATTTCGTATATTTTCGAGCGAACCTCTCAAAGTCCTTAGTCACTATCGCGCGAAGAAGTCCAGTTCGAACCTTACAGCTGCGCAAAAATCTAGTATGCGACAGGCTCGAGAGCTAATAAAATCAAAGATCCCATCTTCGTTCATCAGAGCTGACAACGGAACATTATAATCACACAAGTACCGACGGCATTTTTTTAGATTGCTTCTTTTCTCTGCTGCTTCCAGTATTTTCTTCTGCTTGTACCGTTGTAAGTCTTCCTGCAAAAATCTTCTGCAGATGGCATTTATTATTAGCCATGTTAAACGTGTTGCACTAGGATCAAGCTTCAGTTTCCTTCTCTTTTCGAGTAACTCCTTAGTAGTGATGGAGATGCAATCCGATCTTCTTGCTTGAGGAACTGAGGCGAATTCGGCACAGCTTTTCAGTCTTTCGACGAGCGGCTCGTAGTCTTCGGTCGGGTCTTCTTTAATCTGCCAGTCACGTTTGGACAGGACTTCGCTCAGAATGTTCTCTTCGTATACAGCTAGACTTTCTCCTTGTGGTCGATGAAGAGAGTTCTTTTCTAGCTTGCAGATGAATCGAGTTTTTACACGAAGAAGGCGGTGATCGGAAGCAGTACAGAATGATGAGCCTACCGATTTCTCAAGTAAGCACCATTTTCTGTTTGTCAGAATACGGTCGACCTCAGCATGAGTTATGTCGTTGGGAGACTCCCATGTCCAGCGGCGGCTTTCTTTCTTCTGGAAAAACGAGTTTCCATGGAAGAGACGTGCTGCTTAAAGCAGACCTGAGAGACAGTTTCCATTCTCATTTCTTTCTCCTATTCCCAAATTTACGATCCTGTATTCGCTCTCGTTGGCCTTTCCTATTCTGGCGTTGAAGTTTCCAACAACAAATTTATGATATCCTTCATTATCGCGGATGACTTCCTCCAATTGATAGTAGAACGCATTTAATTCGTACTGATCAGCTGCGTCGGTCAGTGAGTAGCAATTGATGATAGTGATCTTCTTATGATGGGACGGTCGAAGACGGAGGACGGTTATGCGAGGGGAAAGGATCACGTATGAGTCGACGAGATGGACAATGGACGAGTGGACGAGAAAGACCACACCACCGACATTTTATGATGGGACCTTTTCTACACGGGTCACAAGGGTCCCGTTGTTTAGTTGGCGTATAGCGGTCTTCTTGGATTTTGTTTCTTGTAATGCGATCACATGAAATTTAATGCGATCTGCAGCTACAAGAAGGGCGTGAAGATCGGCATCTGTGGAGTTTTCTGGCATTATACGTGCATAGTAAGAAACAATCTCCATGGCGTGTCGTGTTTGTGTTCGTCAGATCCGGTTCCAATGACATCCTGCGTAACCCGAGATTTTCTGGCCTCTCACCGGTCGTCTCACCGCTTGACGTCATAGACGGAAGCACCTAGTGTGCGGGGTACTGAGGCTGGCCTATTGCTGGCCGTGCAACTTGGTCCTCCCTGGAGTCCTAACGTAACCTTGCAAGGGCGTATCTAGGTCTTTACCACGATGTGGACCAGAGAGAGGTGTGCTTTCGGCGACGAATCCTTATACAGAGATCACCTAACAGTAACTTTAAGCTTGTGATTCAAATCCAGCTTTGCAGAGTGTTCGAAGCTTCACCTTTCTAGAAGCATCTCAGTCGTCTCCACTGCGTAAAAGAAACGAAGAGAAAACATCAAACGAAGAGAAAACATCAAAATTCTGACTTTTTCGATTTTGGGTCAAGTGCTGTGACAACCACATATCGAGGTTTCAATCTTTCGAACTCTGGCTTCAAACAGTGAACGACTGCACGGCAGTCGACGTGGAGTTCTCCGCCAAATGCTCCTGTGGTTGTTAGTGGATCAGCACCAATGATTTCTACCAATTAATCGTTGTCTACTTCCTGCCACCACGCTATTCATCTTCGAGATACGTCTCCCTCGCTAAACCTCCTCTGAACCACCACACTACTGAAGGTCTGATCACAGTTCCTGGGACAAATGAGCTGTTGATGTCGCTGATCTACTTCCAATACTTTATGAACCATTTTTAACTAGAAGAATTTTTTTCAACATCATTTATATAGCGTTAATATACAAAATAAGAAGTAACAAATCATTACTAAACTATTGGCGAAAAACATAAAGGGATAAATGCTCATTAGATGGTGCATAGCATAACCACATTTATTTAAGAAGATACTCCAATGTAAACTGGCAAATTCAAAGCACGAAAAAAATCGTGCTTATTTTTGAATACTAATGTAGTTTAGCCATGAATGTGTAAGAACCGAGAAGTTTTGGAAAAGGACTGACCGGAGTACTAGTGCCAACCCATGGTCTAACAGATACCACTTCAGTACACTTTATTCAAACACCTTTGTAATTACGCATATACGACAACAAATCGTACTGAGTTGAGGAAGTACGAGGGAAAGAGTTTGAGACTTGTCGAACAGTTGTCGACGCAGGTAATGTCCGTTTGCTCTGTCACACTCAAAACGTTCACGCTCGACTTAATGTTTAATGTACATACTATTAAAAAAACCGAAACATTAATATTACTAAGGAAAGAAGAATGAAAAATCATGGAAGTTTTTAGACTCACAAATAAGTACCTATCGGTAAACACTTTTTGACTTAAGCTTTTTATAACACGTTTTGATCTCAGTATGAAGTACAATTCAAGGCTTCTTCTAATGAGCCGTAGATTTTCACTAGCAAAGACTTTCGTTTCGTCAAACGAGAATTTCCGTTGTAACTCCCACGTTCGACATTCTATTAACCTCGCACGCAACTAGGCACGCATAGGACGCAGAGACATAACGGAGAAAATTTTGAAGTAGGTGTCACGGTCCTCGCGCAAGAATCGAGAACACAAGCGCGCAAAACTCTGGAGGCATTCTGGATTAATTCCAAGAATCCGAACATGAACCGCAGGGAGGAATGCCTCATTATTACGCGTGATATTCGGCAGTATATAAACCTGTTATTTTGATGAGATGGGCACAATACGATTCCGTGTGAACTCTGTGTGATTGGTCTCTACGTGACATAATTAGTGGAAGACTCATAGAAAGCGGTGAGTGTGCAAAAACTGTGTTCAGTGTGATTGAAATTTTGGTTCAGCAATTTCTCTGTTTGGTTATGGAGGTGTTTGGCCGATTAGGTTGCTGTCAACTTGACCTTTCCAGGCTCTGAGGAAAGCGAAATCCGCGGAAACGTCAGCTTGTACGTAAATAAAGAAATAAAGTAACACCTCGTGTTTGCTGAATAGAAGCAGAAAGAATTTTCCGTTGTTTATGTTCTTCGTTCACTCCAAATGTGTGCTACCACAATTCACATATCGACGATGAAAGTTTCATAGGGTTAGTTAATCTCACGAAGACCATAAGCTACATTGGAGATGGTTCTGGAACTCGTTCAGAGAGTAGACGTGACTTTGGCACATAGAGTAGTTTAGGGAGACAGTCCAATATACAAATTAGCATTTGAGGATGTAAGGTTTGATCAGTTCTTATGAAGAATTTCAACCGGTGAAATAGGATACACCCATGCCACGTCGTTGTATTGTGTTATGTGCTGACTGCAAGCACTAAAACGATTTCAATTTTCCTATCTTTCCAATGCTTTTTCATTACGCCTTTCCAAAAGCTTAACGTTAAGCACAAAATATTGCAAGCAACTCACAGTGTGTCACATAGGAAAAGAATTCCTGGAAACGTTCGCACCTGCAACTGCGATTCGTCTTCGAAGGTCTGTTCGTAGATCGGCGCCGGGCATCCATGAACAGTCGAAACGTGGTCGCACAGCTGCTCAGGCGTCTCCAGACCGCCACAGCAACAACACGAACATACAATAGCAATTGATGACATCCTGAATAGTCTAAAGAGACATCTGAACAAAAACACAACACTACAGAGACGAGTGTCCTAAAGTTGAATAAAATGAATACGAAACCACGACTAGAAAAGTGTACGAAAATAAAACCAATGGACAAAAAACCGGAATGACAAACCACTAAATTTGGCTCACTCCATAGTTCAGAAATTGAGCAAATACTGACTGAGTTCGCAGATGTTTTGGGCGAAACTAGCGACATAAAGTCGACGGTATATATACAGTTCCCTACAGTTTTCAATTTCCTTAAAGATTTGTTGCCGTAATAAACAAGAGGATATGTCCACGGGATGACTAAAAAACTAGCTACTGTAAAATCCCCGCAAATTATCCTTCAATCATAATCTTTAGAAGGAGTGAATAAGAGAAGAAAGCGTAGAATTTGGAGTTCTATTTTAAACTCGATATGATGGGCATCTGTCTTCGCCACCAGCTTCTCAAGCCTCACAAGAGGGCATCTAGTGATTTCGCCAGGAACTTTTGTGAGATAGATATAACTTCGCGCATTCGCACATCAAGTTCCTCCCAAGCAGATGGTTTGTAGAGTAGACTTGTTCTTTTGATCAACCCTAAAGGAAAAAGTCGCAAGATGTTAGGTCAGTGCTTCTGGCTGGGTAATCACGCAGATGACGACGACCACAGATCGAAATTAGAACGGCGAACGCTTCTTCCAGTATTAGTTTACAGGTCTTTTAGGTATGACTCTTGCTTGACAATTCTTGATCCTCTTTGCGTCAATATGTACTTGTCTTCCTTTAATGCTCCTCCACCAGCTCCTCAATTGAACAACCGATCTCCGAACTTAGTAACGTCCCGTTAACTGAGCACGCTCCTGCAGGGTAAGACGTCCAACATGTTGTAGGGATTCCATACTTCTAGCAAAACAATTGATCACGAAAACAACAACAACATAACCACAACGTTGCTGAGATATTTGCAAAACACTGGACCGCAGGTGTCTATGGTGGAGAACGAACGCGCTATTGTCCTTTCCGGGGAGTAACGCGTTCACCATCACACTATGCGCGTCCTTTGTTTCGCCTGTCTTTCAGCTATTTCTATCAACCTTTGCCACAGCAATCACCCGTGAGCGGGAAAAGATCGATAGAAATAGCTGAGAGACAGGCGAAAGAAAGGACCCGCATGGTGTGGTGGTGAACGCGTTACTCCCCGGAAAGGACAATAGCGCGTTCGTTCCTCACCATAGACACCTGCGGTCCAGAGTTTTGCAAATATCTCAGCAACGTTGTGGTTGTATTTCGCTTAGTACCCTGCCGCGAAATTATAGTAGGCAGAAAATAAAAAGGTATAACAACAACACAAATTCGTACAACTCTAAAAACCGACTTTAACATAAATTTAATTCTCGTACATTAAGGAACATGCATAAAAATTCGAGAAAACAATACAATATAAAAATAAATAATAAAATCATAAGTGTCTATATTCGTGCTGAGTGAAGTTAAAAATCATGTGTCTTAAAATAGGAGGTTGCTTTTCAATCGGGCTGTAGCTGTTCCGTGCAGTCAACAGGAGAATAAAAGCAATCTTGTACTCGTTCTGACACGAGAGCAAGCGCACGTGTTCTTGGTTAGCCTACACGAACTACAGTGCTTATTTGACTTCCGCAGAGATTCCAACAATTTCGCTAATTTCATAGCCGGCAGAACCCAATAATGGAACTGCGCCTTAACGATTTGTTGCATAACCAGTGTGTATCAGCTCACCAAGCCCATGAAAATAATGCCTATTTGCTTGTGGAGAAGACCTTATATTGTGTCATTCTGAAACCTATAACGTAACGAAAGTAAAGCATAGTTGAAGTGCAGGGACTGAATTACCTCTAACAAGTGAAAAAACTACCGTTAGAAGGAACCCATGGCAAGCCCTAGGACAATCCAAAGAATGAACACACAGAAAAAGTCTAAGAGCAACCTTTTACGAATATGGAAAAGAGTTCAAGCCTGCCTCACAAATTATAGCATTTTGATCAAGAAGTAAACACACGACGAGAAGGGGGAATTTCACTGCAATCTTGATATACAATGCATCGTTTTGTCAACAACAACCCAAGCAGATGACACCATTGAGCAAATTGGGGTACCCAGAAGATTCTGTTGTCAAATTGAAGATGCAGTTCTAGATGTTATGAATGTATATGTCAAAGGAAAGGACTAACGTCTTTGTACTGATTAAAATAAAAAAACAGACATGATGATGATCTGAGAAGCTTCATAGCAGTGCGAAAAACAAGAGCCATATTAGATGCGTCTGAAGTGGAAGCCAGGAAAAAACATACGAAAACACGAACAACCAGTATCAGAAACAAAGAGCAATATTTGACATCTGTTATGGTGTGAAGCACTTTCATAAGGAGCGAGACATAAAATAAGTACTATGAGTGTGTAGATGAAGCGAGAGGTGTGAAATGAGTATAACGGAAGGATATTCCTAATCCCTCAGGCAAATATTTAGCAGAGTATGTGTAATAAGGAATTTTCTTTAGTATCAATACATTAGCGATTAATCCGGTGATGCGATCAGAAACAAGGAATGAAGTAAATGATTTTGTACTGGCAGAAATGAAAAACGCCAAGTAGCACGACTTAAATTATATACCACATCAGCAATCTTTTCAAAAGAGTAGCCTCAGAGAGAACAACCTCAAGTTGATGATGTCAAGAATAGTAATTTCTATTTGGAAAAGAAAGTGGAAGAAAAAGTGCTAGACTGCAATAAGCTTCGTCCGTAGCTCACATAACGAAAGTTCGCGAACAAGTTTTAGATAGAGAAGTACGCTAGATAGAAGTAGAACCTGCAGGAACTAGAGTTGGTTCATTAAGAAAATAAAATAATAGAACCGGTTAAGCTTCTGCTGACAGTGAAAAATTTTTCAACAAGGAACACATCTGAACATCGTTGTGACAAAACAGGTCGCAGAGGAGTACATCTAATATGCTGGGCTTTTCTAATAACCACACAGCTAATCCAGACCTACACGGGGTGTGCTATGACGAGCGATATTGCGGATGGACACTTCAAAAGAAAAAAGGACGATTTCCTTATTCTGAAAACATCAGAGCCGAACACCATGCTTCCTGATTGTTGCTGGTCTGTGACATCACAACAACAGCAGGACTTCACAGTGAAAATGAGAAAGCTTCATTGAGTCATGGATTTCGAGGACTTTCAGAAAATAGCGAAAATGCACATGACACATAGAGTGGTCGCGCACGACGAAACGCAAAACAAACTAGTGGTTTCTCTGTTCTTCTGCTCCTATGCTCATGATTAGGAATAATGAAATTGGGACAAGTATAAGAAGTGCTATATGGTGGGACGGGTAGCGTTATGGGACATTCCGCAAGGTTTGTCCGAAATTTTTTTTAAAATTTAATCTGCTCGACGTGGAATATTTTCTTCATACTTTTTTCTTTATGACTCCACACTGTATGTTCTTTCTCATTGTGCAGATTGCAGCAGTCACTGCATTCATTTCGTCTCCTAGCGTCCATCATCCGCAAAAGTTTTCGATTCCCGCCTCGTAATGAACTTCATTGAATGCTGGTTGAGTCGAATCTCCTCCGAATCCTTGGAGGGCCATGGTAATGCGTTCCAACACAGATCTCATAGAACGTACTTTTACAAGGTGTGGTGCCAATTTCCCAACCTCGGAGTGATAGGAGGTTTTGTGGACGTGGTGAGAGGTTGGACAAGCTTTCAGGCGGTTAATTTAAGCCCTCCAAATAATAAATAACATTATTACTACTATTACGCTATCAGCCCCTTATGTGGATTAAGGAGGAAAATAAACAGAAACATTTCTAAAAAATGTTCTGGCGGCAGATGCCCATATTTCCTCCACAGGCTAGTGATTTTTAGCCAAAGTAAGAATACTGAATAATCGATGTTTGGGAACGATATCAAAGAAGCAAGAGTTGAAAAAAGCAGTCAAAATAACAACTGTAATGAAATAGCTTAAACGGAGTGGAGAAGTACGCGAAGTGTGGGACAAAAATAAATATTCCTTCAATCCTAACCCTTTTGTTTACTGCCTTTTTCTTTTTTTTTTTTAATGGCAGGGTATGTTGTGAAACGAAGGACCCGAATGGTGTGGTGGTGAAGTGCGCTACTCCCCGGAAAGGACAATAGCGCGCGTTCGTTCCCCACCGCATACACCTGCGGTCCGGAGTTTTGCAAATATCTCAGCATTATATACGAGTAATATTCCTTCAATTATCGAAAATCTTCGTATTCCTGTTGAGCAAACGCCAGGTGTTATTTTTATTCTTCATTCACGAAAAAGCTGACGTTTCGGCGGATTTCGCCTTCCTCAGAGCCTGGAAAGGTCAAGTTGACAGCAATCTATTCGGCCAAACACCTTCATAACCAAACAAAGAAAACGCTAAAGCAAGATTTCAATCACATTAAGCACAGCTCCTCGCACTTACGGCTTTCCATGAGTATGTCGCGTGAAGAGCAATCGTACAGAATTCACATGGAAGCGTAATATGCCCCTCCCATCAGAATAACAGGTTTATATACTGTCCAATATCACGCGTATCAATGAGGCATTCTTTCTTGCTGTTCATTTCGAATTTATGGAATTAATCCACAACGCCACAATCCCCTTTGTAAACTCACCGCTTTCTATCGAAAATCTGATTTTTTTAATCATTAATAGCCGGCTATGGTTGTATAGGATACAGACTAACAAACTTCTCCAAAACGAAAGGCTAAAAAAATGAGAATATTTTTACTCACAATATTGCTGAAATATTTGCAAAACACCGGACCGCAGGTGTCTGCGGTGGAGAACGAACGCGCTATCGTCCTTTCCGGGGAATAACGCGTTCACCACCACACCATGCGGGTCCTTCGTTTTGCCTGTCTCTCAGCTAGTTCTATCGATCTGTTCCGTCAGCAATCACCCGTCAGAAAACAAAAAGCAAACACTGTAATTTCAACTACAGCC